ATTATTTTTTTTTTATATATATATATATATATATATATATATATATATATATATATATATATATATATATAAGTAAGGCTATGATGGCTGAATACTGCATCAGAGTATGATATCTATTCAATTGCAGAAAATCAGCAGACAGGGTGACACCATATCCCAAAACAAAGCTACATAGGAAGACGTTTTAAGGTGTTGGATTGAAAAAGTTATTCACCTCCTATTTGCCAACAAGATTGTTAGCAGAATCGCTGGAGGACCTCAGAAATGCTCAAAAACTGAAAAGTGTATCCCAACGGATAGATTTTAAGATGAACATGGACAAGGTGAAAAGTCATGTATAACATCTATGCCCCGTCTATGCCTTGTGCAAGTATCTGATTAGCTGAGTCTGACTTTGACAGCGAGATAACGCTTATTAGCAACCAAATATGTCTAAATACAAAGGAGCTCTGTCTCCTGAACTAGGTTATCACCTGTATCTCAGCAAACAGTGCCTTCCCAAATTCTTAGTTCCAAGTTTATATTCAGTAAGTACATAATTCATTATTCCTTAATTAATATTTATATATACCGGTGACTGCTACATAATGTTTAACGTGTTGTTGTGAGTGCATCTGTGTCTGTGCTTGTTTTAATCATTGTATTTTATTTTAATATTGTAAGAACTTGGGATATAGTCAAGATTTTGCAGCTATTTCAGTACATATTTTTTAAATCTATTGGTGCATAGATTTTAAGGTTCTCGATGGGAATTTTATTATAAATGTATGGTTCTATGAAATTGTAGTATCATTGCATAAAGGTAGTTTTGGTTATGGGTATAGGACACTGAATTTTTTTATTGATTCGTGGTAGTGAGTAGGCAGTAACACAGTGATATCTCGGGAGAGCTTGAATTATAAATAACTTGCGAACTGAAAGTTCCTGAGTCTCGTTGTATACTTTATTAGTAAGATTTCCGTATGGAAGGTGCATTAGTACTTTTGAAATTGCTCTTTTCGTGCGTTTAAGTTGAATCATTGATGTTTGTGGTGCGAAACACCACGTCGTCACACAGCTTTTAAGTTTAAGTAAGATTTTTAACTTCCCGCGAAGAAAAATTGAAAATTTTCAAAAATCGGGAAGCTGTTTGTTTTTACTCCGTTTTTCGAAAATTGAGTTTTCATCAAATCTTGATGTTTTGAGGTCACAGGAAGCCACCCTAACGATTTTTCAATGTTGTGTGGATGTAGGTAAATCTCTTATAGCGTTTGAACGGCTTAACAGATTGAAATGAACTAAGAAGATTTCCAAAGTGTTTAATCAAACTTAGATTTCCTATGAATTTTAACTAGTTTGGACCTTAATGGTCCGATAAATTTCAAAAATAAAAACATTGAAAAACAGATTTTCGAAATTACTTTTAAACGGCTTTACCGATCGATTCCAAAAACTAATCAGCTAACCATGAAAAATCAAATCTACCGCCATTCCTCCAATCCCCACCAGTCTGGTCAAAATCGGTTAATTCGTTTGTGAGATATTATTAACAAAAAAATTGAGAAAAAAAAGTTTTTTTTTTTTACTTATTCCGATATTTCATATTCAACGTCATAATTTGGTGAAATTTGGAGCGCTTTGCATTTGAAATTAGTGGGAAGTTCCAGGGATGGCTTGCAGGGACAACCAATTTATTACTAGTGACTGTTCTTAATTGTCTGAAAATATATATAAGTTTTCTAACCCGAGAACAGACATTAATTATCTTTTCTATCCGTTGGCTAGTAATCTTTCCATTACATGGTAAAGAATGTAGTGTGACTGTAAAGTCTTGAGTTGGATCTGATGTTGCGGACCTCGAGAAGCAAAGGTATTTGGTCCTCGAATTATTTAATGTGAGCAAGTTATTCTCTAACTAGGCTGAGATATTCTCAAAACATATTTTTTCAAAGATTTGTGCTTGTTTCCGAGTCTGCCTATGAAGTAGTTAGATTGTGTCGTCAGCGAATATTAGCATATCCGTATTAAATGTTAATGCGCTTCCAAGACTATACGCCAAGAAGAGAGTCGGGCCTAATATAATGCCCTATGGAATACCGAATCTACAGATTGAGGCATCACTCATTGAATAAAACTATTATTTACGGATTTTATCTCGTTTAATTCAACTTTAATTTGAAAAATGAGCTCATTTTGCGTAAATCGAACCAAAAATTAATATTCAAAAACTGAAGGTAGCCGGACTAACTATGACATTGGGACGTCAAACATCTCAGTCCCTCCCTCCCGTGACCACGGGTACTGTAAAGCACCCGAAACGTCGGGATAATAAAAATTAATTAAAGTTTAATTAAACGCGATAAAATCCGTAAATAATAGTTTTATTCAATCACTCAGATCTTTATTTACGCTAAAGTATTGCTGTCTGCCTGCCAAATAACTCCGAAACCATTGGTGTACATGACCACGGATACGCAAGCCGTTAAGTTTTGACAATAGTATCAGAATTGAAACTATGTAAAAAGTTTTCCTCAGGTCAAGAATATTACTAATGACCTTCTCTTTTCTATCAACATATTTGGGAATTTAAGATGTCAACTTTAATAAGACGTCATGTGTTGATCTATGTGGGAAACCCATATTGATAATCAGTTTACAGTTTGTTTTTCTCAAAATACCTAATCAACCCACTGTTAACGAATCCTTCCAAAATTTTTAACATAGTAGAAAGTATAGAAATCGGTCTGTTCTATCCGTTGGCTAGTAAGATACATCTTGTTTGCCTCCGTTTTAAAAATTGTAGACACGATAGCCGTTATAAATAAATCAGGAAATATTGCTTGTTTTAAGCTAAGATTACAAAGGTGTGCAAAAACAAGGCACCCTTTTTGCTAGGTAAATAAACCTAGTGGAAATGCCATCATGACCTGGTGTACTGTATGATTTTGGTTTATTTATTATTTTATTAATTTCTTAAGGATCTGTGGATGCGAAAGACATAGATTAAAGCTGAACAAGACATAGATTAAAGTTTGATTACATAAACGCATGCCTTGCTCATTCAAGATTTCGATTTTCTGTAGGATGATGTACGCCTGAATTTAACCAATGGTTATGAAGTATGTATTAATTTTGTTTATTATATTTATTGGAAAACTATATATTAAAAGCTATATAGATACCATATAGTTTTTTCATCTGATTGGGATCCATAAATGATAGACCGGAAATAGCCCATTTGCAGAGACGGCTACTGGAATAATTTCAGTCGGCAAACCATCCCACATTTCGGTCACCTCGTGAGCCAGGTCCAGATATTTGGTTTGCTTATCTGTTTTGACTTAGAAAGCGCAAAACAACCGGAGATGACATGCCTAAATGACTCACCAGGAAGGCGACAAGCTCAACAGACGTCGACGGTGCCATCCTTTAGGATGTATCTCCGATATTTGTTGGTCTTAATAACCTGATCCTATATTGCACAGACAAAAACCTCGGTTTCCTTGAAGAGGTCACCAAATGATAACCAGTAGAAGCAGGCGACTGTATCTACGAAGGGCTCATGTGGAGCCCTGTAGTATCTCCCGTGGAGCTCCATCTTCTTCCATACGGTCTCCCGGTTGGCAATGTACATAGCAACTGCTCGATCTTGCCATTGCTCAATGGCTAAGGATAGAGGGGTAAGCCCTTTATCACTAGAAAAGACGTCATTATAGAATGGTCATTCGGTCTCGCCAGGAAGTAATAACGGAGGATACACACTACGCCATTACGCATCGTGAGCGCGCTCAGAAAGCCACTCTCACCATGCTTCCGCGGCAAGTACAGCCTTAATATCGACGATCTAGGATGATGCATCCTATGGGACGTCATGATAGTGCGGACTTTTCTACCCAAGGCGTTAAGTTCAGTCTGAGTTCACCTGAGTATGCCAAAAGTATACATAGGACAGGCATGATCCTTATTCACACCGGACAAAAGGCTTTGGTCAAGCGTGCATAAAACACGTTGCAAATTGACTGTTTTATATCAGCCTCAACGATACCGACGTTCTGTGATATACCCAGGTACCGCGTGGAATGCCTTTCTGTAGTCTATCCAGGTAGCGGAGAAGTTTTAACGGTTGCGTTTCACCACTTTGCCAATGACCGCGACTTTGAGGATTGGTTCCTTCGTTCCACGACCAACGCCACGATATTCACTTTGAGCGCGTGACATCACCTGATTTAACTCCAGGTGACGAGTGATTCTTGCGCTCAAAATGGATGTCAGTATCATATGTATGGTGGACGTGATGGGCGGACTCGGGTTTGTTGTATCCTGATCTTTAGTAACCAAGTAATTGATCCCATTAGTGAACAGACTCGAAAGTGACTTCTGGTCTAGAGCCCCTTGAAACTGTGGAGCGAGCACAGTGTGACACACTACGAACCCCTTCAGCCAGTATCGATGCAGCCCTTCGAGCCCGGGACTTTTCCAGTTCGGGGCCCTACGGACTGCCTCAGCCACGTCTTCCGGCGTTATGGTGACTCGGTCCATAGGTGTAACACTCGCACCCTGGTTCGCCACAACTTCCATCTATGGGCCCTCGCTGTGGTTTACGGGCTCTGACCATAGGCCACGCCAGAATGCGATAATGTCGGTCTGATCCAGTCCTGGACCCGCTTCACATATATTTATATTATTATTTATACAGCCTATTCTGATCACTCTAGAAGAGACAATTTTGGTTGAACCGCCATGACCTCTCGGTAAATCGTGAAATCCATCTTTCCCAAGCAGTTATTACTTGCTTTAGGTCAGCTATTCTATTCATTAGTTTCTGCGTGATATCCAGCTGAGATTAACTGACATAAGTCCCAGCAAAGGCCATTCTAACGGTGCGCACAACACTTGGTCTATTATTACCCGACCTGAAGCTTTTCAGTATGCCGATTAGGGTCCTTGCCTTTGAGATAAGTTCTTTAATTCCTTTTTCTCAGGCTGGAATGGTGCTAATTTGTCTAGTAGCGCGTCCAACCATGGGAAGTTTGGCGCCAATAATACGACAAACTGCAACTGCGGCGCCAAAAAGTATTCAGTCCGTCTCGCAAAGGTCCCGGCTGGCTTCCAAATTGGTCAACAGCATTGGGTTAAGAGCCCCCACGACAGCCCGACTTCACTTGCTTAGGGGTACTGGGAAGTCGCGGTCGATTTTCGAGAGGCATGCTGCACGTTTCCAAAATCGCCTCTTCCAATATGCTCCAAATTTGCTCTAGTTCATGGCAGACGATTTCATCATCGTCCGAAGTAACCACAACTGAAAGATCCATGGCGGCTTCAACGTGTAGATTCTGGTCTGTCGCCTAAGGAGTCGAATCCCCAGCCATAGCCGATTTATTCAATGATGGAATGGCCTCACGTCGTAGTCATTTGAGCTCGGTATCATCAAATATTTTCGAGCGCATGATTTACCGAACTCGGTCTGCCAGGTTTTGTTCCGTGACGGGAATAGACGGCTCCAGTTCAGCAGAAAAGTAATGCATCCGAGCCCGATAAGCTATATTTTCAGTTTCTTAATTTTTTTATCCAACGCATGCGGCGCACTCCACCAACGGCGGATGCCACTTGCCGAGTCCGAGAGAACCCTGCTGACACCAAGCCATCCAGTGGGGCCATCATAATGGACACGAGGGGCTGCTAGGTGTACGTGCAGCTCCAGACGCGCCCCGTCGACCCCCAGGCAGCGGCCCTATACGTTTTAATCCATTTCTGAGCGCCAATTAACGGGAGACGGCCCGGCACCGTTTCATTGTATCATTGTACGGTCGTCAGCACAAACGGGCCTTTGCACCCTCAGTACTGCCGAAGCACGGCGCTCACATCTTTTGGCAAGACACTGACTGACTACACCGACGTAGCAGTTTTGTCACTTAACTGTTACGTCAGCGGGCGATGGGGTCATCACTTCAATACGTCTATTTTATTATACTTATTATTATTATACTTTGCCATGCGTAACACTGTTATGTGTTTAAGTAATAAATTAAATGATACTGCAGACATTTTATCGATAATTTCCTTATCCTGATGCAATTATTATATTTATACAAAATAGAGTCACGCTGTAGCTATTAAGGTTGTATCACGTTGGGTGGACTCGACAGCGTGAAATAACAACTTAATGCTGCTGCTGTTTTTCGTATGGTAAGGTAAGAGGACCGGAGATCGTTATTACTGGTAGTGAGGAATTTAATATTAGTACTCAAGTGGGGAAAACGCATCCGCATTTTGATTCTTTATTGAAGATATATGTAGAGACTTATGGCCTGCAGCACCTGCTTACTATCAGTTGGAAAGTGTGCCCGTTTGTCACTTATACTATAAAAAAGTCATCAATCGCAAAACTGTCTTCTTACTCACATTTAATAATTTTGCAAACCATGCAAATAATCTATATTTATATAGTTTCACGTGTGTAGTCAGCCTTTTGTAGTACAGGGATGAAGTAACCCTCTATCAGTCTATTTTAGGTCGTGGGGCTCGTCATTCACTCATTACAGACTTTCTTATTCCACTGCCGAACCTAGGTCTCTTCATAATGCTCTAAAGTTTCCGCTACCCATCTTCTGTTTAATTTCCCTTAGTCGTTCTCTCTTTTTTATTAATTTATTATTTAAAATACAAAATTTGATTTTTAAATATTATACATATCGACGGTCCCTACGTACATAAAGTCATGTCAAATATGGCATATTTTTATTGCATAATTGGCTTTCAATTTTCCTAATGCACATACCTATATAAGATTTTTTTAAACATTACGTATTTAACTTCATATTGAAATCGTATAAGAGAACAAATATGATAATTATTACGAATAAATGTCGTAGATGCGGATATCTATACCTATAATTTCGTACGGCGTTTTAAAATGCGCGCCACACGGTGCGAGCGCGGTCTTGTCCGACTTATCTTCATTTACTTGGAGAAGACGTGACGATGCTTGTTCGCGTGGTGAAATAATTGTTTTAATACAGTTATGCTTTGGTGGTGTGGTAGTTAAAAGTATTCATAATATTTCCTGCATAATACTGTAAAACATGAATAGCAGTAGATCAAAATTATTGGTGGATACTGCAAACTCCAGAAATAATATTTTATGCGTTTCTGAAGCACAAGACGTAATTAATTATATTGCTAAAGCTAATGAGGGTAATTATTTATTCAAATAAGTATATATTAAACGCTCAATAATACACAAAACCGATAAAAATAAGCATTTTTAATGTTTTTCTAACCGATCGCAGTGTAAAAGCAGACATATCCGCTTAAACTATGATATAGTCATTAAATTATCATTATTACACAAATATTTATAATAAGTTCCATGCTTCTTTAAAATATGATTTCTATGAAATAATTAGAATAAAGAAAAAGTTTTTATTTTTATCGAAGTATATGAAGTCATGTCCTACATGTTTGTGTGTAACTACGAGTAGAACATTTATGTATGAATTTGTTTTCATTTACGATTATTACTGTTGAATAAACATAAATATACGTTATTATTTTTTATTTTTAGATACGCCTGTATGTACCGAAAAAGATGTATCAATGGATCTTGAGGGTTGGCCTTTGGAAGTTTCCATCGACGAAAGACAAGTTGCCGTAGCACATAATGATGGAGAACAAAATCATATTATATCCACTAATATGCTATCGCAAAGTGATTTAAATTATATAATTAATACGGTAAGGGAAATTTCGAATGTTGAAATTGAATATTACTATCTCACCACGCCCATTTGTGAAAATGAAACATCACAAACAATACCTGAAAATTGGGTTTCAACACCAATGCCAAGTCCATGCATGTCCTTTGGGGACGCTGTAAACGAATGTAACTATTTAAGCGAAGGTACCATTCTCATCAACATTAAGATCAAGCCCGTTAGGATCCAGTGAAATGTGTTGTTCATCAACACGGCATCAACGAAAAAAAGCGTCAGTATATGAAAAAAGCAATAACAAGGAATATAATTACTAACAACTAACAACGCTCAAAGACTCAAATAAACAGTATTTAGATTTCGAATTGACTTTAAAAAAATGTATGTTCTGTATACTGTATGGTGTAAAGAGCTGAATATAGGTGAAAATATAGCTACTTTTGTAAGACAATACAAAGATATTGTTAACAAAGAACTTAACATAGCTTTTCACATACCTAAAAGGACCAATGCAGCCTGTGTCACGCAATGAAAAACAACACCTCGCAAATCAATGATGATAAACTGAAGCATGTCACACATTGATAACAAAAAAATTGCCAGGAAATTAAAAAATGTTAATAAAATTGAATCTCAATCAAATCCTACTGATATTTGCAACACTCTACATGGCGAAATTAGTGTGCTGTATTACAAAAGGAAATTATCAGTTTATAATTTTACAGTGTTTGATGCTGGGTTAAAGGAAGCTATTTGTTACATATTTAATGAGACAATTGCTAAACGTAGCGCCATTGAAGTGGCTAGTTGTTTGTTTTCTTTCGTAAACAACAAAGTTAAAGCTGGCGTCAAAGATTTTAGATTCTGGTCAGACAACTGCGCCGGTCAGAATCACAGTCGCATTGTTTTTTGTATGTACCTGTAAGTAAGCAATACATTCAAAGTAGACGTGTGCCATCGAATCTTGGAAAAAGGCAATACTAAAAAGAAGGCAGATAACGTTCACGCATTAATAGAGCGAACAGCAAAAAATAAACTTATTTACAACCGGATGTATGGTAATAAACACTGGTTCGCTGGGCGAAACAGAATAGCCCAGCTTATACAGTCGTAGAAGTAAATAAAGACTTAGTTTTGAATTTAAAAGCTTGGCTACATACTAAAAACTGGATAAAAGATACAAAGTCAGAGAAAATTTCTTGGAGTAAGATAAGAGAAGTAAAAGTGCAATGGAGTAATCCAGACATTATGAAATTTTAATACGATTTTTTGGAGAAAATTATAGAAAACAACTGTGGATTGAATTTGAAATTCACTAGAGGGAGGAAAAGAGGGAACAAAATCTAATACTAGAGAAGTTGTACAATAATCCTATTCCTATCACTGAAGTGAAATATAAATACTTGGTTAGTTTATGCGATACAATGATTATCCCAAAAATATCATGACTTCTACAATAATCTTAAGCATAGTAAGGAAGAACAGGATAATGACGAAGAAGATTGTTAAAACAATCTATAATTACAATTTATTTTTTATTTAACTACTAACTAAGAAAATTTTACTAGTAATAAGATGAATCAGTCTGAATAAAGATGTGATGATTATTAAATATTACCAATTAGAGAGATAGAATATGAGGCACATACTTAAATAACGCTGTGATTTTGATTTAATAGTACTAATTAGATAGATAGATAATTAAGCTAAGGCACACACTTAAATAAAGATGTGATGAATATTAAATATTACCAACTACAAAAATAAAATTTGCTTACATACAAATTGTTAATGATTAACCTTAAACAACTGTGATTTTTTAATGTTTAATTCCTACTGCAATGAAACTAAAAGTACCTATTGTTTAGACGCTAAGAATATTGATATTTAACAATAAATAATTTTCAACTATAAATATTGTTAATTAATAAAACACAATCGTGATAGTTTTATTTAAAGACATGTCTTTGTTTACATTTCAAGAAACAAAGTCCTACCTCGAATTAATGAAACCGCGTATACAGCGATATGTCTTCATTGATGCATTTTTTATATTCATAGGTGGCGATCTTACGACGATAATGTATCGGTTAGAAAATAATAACATTATACTACGATTTTACAAAAAAAATTATTTAAATTATATTTTAGACACAGTTTTATTTTTCCTGCGTATATAAAGGAATCATATACATGTCTGACATGCTTATATTTTAATATCAGCGTAGAAACAGTTACCTATCAGTTGTTCTATGAAAATATAAAAAATAAAATATGTATAAATGACTTGTTGACAATGTATAAATAACATTATAAAGTTCCTAAAGATAATAAAAACATTGTAGAAAAAAAGTATTTATGTTTGTACATAGAATTATTTCTAGGGCAGTTTGAACATAAATTACGCTCTCCTGTAAACCTCGGTTTTAGACATGTCTTTATGTACGTATGGACCGTCGACATTCTCGCAAAACTGCTTACACAGTTTGTCTGCAGGAACATTTGAATCTCATTTACATAATCTATACTTATAATAAAGCTGTAGAGAGGTCAATTCTGTACATGAAATATATTTCAAAAATAACTATCAGGGGTTGATTAGTGATCGATACTGATGCCAAAAATGCAAACAGTAAAATTTTTGTCTGTCTGTATATTCGTTATAGAAACAAAAACTACTCGACGAATTTTAACGAAACTTGGTACAATCATTTATCATACTCCTGGGCAGGTTATAGTATACTTTTAATCACGCTACGATCAATAGGAGCAGAGCAGTGAAGGGAAATGTTTGGGAAACGGGAGAAATTACTCCATTTTTTAAGCTTTCGTCGCGTGTGCAGCCTTAATGGTTAAAGCTACTCAGAAATAATGCGTAACGGAAATGTTCTCTTTAAAATTATATAAAAAATATCCCACGACAGCATATGTCTATATTTTATGGTTGCCTCACAATAACACGAGTAACTCCCGATAGCTTTGCAGTTCGGAGCTTTCTGATTATATTTGTCCACTCTTACGTTTATAACACTCTCACTCATCCCTAATTAAAAATAAGTTAACAGTATTATCTATTCAATAAAAAAGAATCACAGAAATCGGTATAGAAACACCAAAGTTATACATGAAATACGCTAATAAGCCATCGCGCGTGAATACTGAATCATGATATAAGGATTATTTTTGTGTAACGGTCGCCGCGCTCGACGCGGCTCGCTGCGGGAGGTATAAAAAGGCGGGGGATCCTTTATGGATTAGCTTACCGATCTGACGAGAGATCTCTAAGCCGTATACGGACGCAAGATCTCTTACCGATCTGTTGAGAGATCTCGCGTCCGTATACGGCTTAGAGATCTCTCGTCAGATCGGTAAGCCAATCCATAAAGGTGGGGTTTAGTGGGTAAAAATTCTCCACATAACCACGCAGCCGGCTGTGTGGTATGCTATGAGCATTCCCCACCTTCCTCCCCTGCTTTCCGGAGGGTTGCCCATATTTGCTTCGGGCGCAAAAAAAAGAGTGCGAGCTTCATACAATATTTGGCTGTTGATGCGAATAGACGTTCAGAGTGTTCGACCTTATTGACAGACAATATTTGATTTTAACAAACCGTGCTTATCAGTGCGACTTTTAGTCTACTCTTACGTTTAATAATTTATTTTTAGATTTCTTTGGTTGTTATTTTATAAAATAGGTATTAGTTATTTTGGTAGTGTTTAAATATTTCTCAGTATTAGCTTAATTATAAATTAAACTTTTTTTTATTTAGCTGTAGTTTTAAACCTAGGTATCAAATAGGTTATTTCATTCTATTAGACGTAGTTTAGGTACCTACTTATATATTTTTAAGAATTTAATTTTAGATTTAATGATTTATTTAGGATCCGTTTTATTATTTAAGTAGGCATTTAGATTTTTTTAAGTGTATGGTAGCTATAGTTAGGACCTCTAACGTAGATTGTTTTGTTAGGTAACTGAATGCCGTCGATTAAAAATAAAATACACAATGCCACCTAAAAAACGATTATCTTTATCTCGAAATTCGAGAGAAGCTAAGAGAATGTGAAATGTGCGTTCTCAAAAATCGGCAGAGGAAAAAGCACATCAGTTAAACTCTATGAGGGTTAGTGCCTCAACTTCTCGAGCCAATGAAAGCTCTCCAGAAAGAGAGATGCGGTTAGCAGCTGACAGAGCGAGACGAACTACATCACGGGCGTCTCAAACTTCCTCTCAACGAGAGCTAAGGCTTACCATTGACCGAGAACAACATGTGTTATCCCGAGAAGCTGAAACTGCTTCACAACGAGAATTGCGGCTTGATAGCGGCTTGTAGGTGCGCCTGTACGCGGATCAGTTTGGTATAAAGCGAAATTATAACCATCTTCCCCTCGAAAGTATATCAAAGGATATTGCAAACTGTCGTAAGCCCTGTGGGTTCCGTAATCACGATGCAAACGATTGTCTCTGGAACGGGTAACGATATCACGCCTACTACATTCCTGGTCGACCAATACTACAGCAACTTCATTCGTGGATGGAACGTTATAACGCCGAGGGTGTTCCTGAGTTGGACGCCTATCGGCATTTATAACAATTTTAAAATTATTATCACCATCTCGAGGAAGAGCTTCTAATGCTGATTTAAAACTGCATACATACGAATTAACCTGATGCAACATGTTCTGAAATTGTGAAATAACTTCAGTATTTAAATTCGGAAAATATTGATTTCTTATATTCGACTGTTCGTTGTAGTCGGATACAAAATATATTTAAAGAAACTTAGGTTGGTCTTCAGGCAAAAGGGATCCTATCAAATGGTAAACCTGGCCTTTTATCTTAAAAGTAGGCATAAAAGGACCTTCTGAGATTTGTTGAGCACCAAAGGATGTCATTTGAAACGCACTATTATAAGTGCGAATATTGTCTAAGAACTGTTTAGATTGCACATGTTCCCCTAAAAGTAGTGACTCCAAAGGTTCCGGTGGATCTTCGAACAAAGGCAAATTTATTTTACCTTCAGAACAACAGAAACCAGCCGACTCCTTACTCCACTTTGAAGCATTACAAAAAGAACATACTACGTTCATATCGCCTATTTTAGAAGATGATCTGACAATTGTGGGGTTATAAGCAAACCCACTTTTATATTTGTCGGACCACGCTACCAAATTTGTAGATTGATCTTCTATGTGTACATCTAAGTCATTAAGACTATGTCGAAATCTGTCCGCAGT